TCCTAGCACCTCAGAAATCCCCATTACTACTAATGGCCCCAGATCTCGCCACAGTATACTCGATATCTTGAGGAAAGACCCTAAATTCACTAAAGACGTAAAGCAGTTTATGCTTGAATTACAACAGGTGGAAATACTCCAGGAGCCAGTCACCCCTACACCTATTCCTAGAATTAAGAAAAATAAGGAAAGAACAAAAACTTAGAAATCTACTTCCCACTGCCCAGGGGCTTCCTTGGGTAGTTTATAAGCTAGGGAATAAATTTTGGTATCCCCCTGAAGGAGCAAATGTTAGTTAGAAAATAATTAGACTTACTGATCCTTCTCTACCTTATACAGAAGTAAATAACAAGGACAGAATGAAAATGGTTAATATAGACAGTGTCCATGTCCTTTATCCTTTTCTAACATTTATGGAAGGGCTTGCTAGAACAGGATCTCCTTGGTGTATAAAAACAAAACAACAAAAAATATTTGCACTAAAACAGTTAAAGAAAGTAAGTTCATGAATTTCCACGCTGTCCTCTACCTCGCAGTCTAAACTCCATTGACCCTTACCTGTAACCATAGTTAACAGTATAAGTTGCTGATGTTTGTTGTTATTGTCTCCAGGGACTATCCACTCATCCCTGAAGATAGAACAGACAATGTCTATCACTTGGTCAATATTTAGCTCTTAACCTGTTTTATAATTTCTTTAACATTTAGTTATGAAAGCATAATGTCTAACATAAGTTAATCATAAATTAATAACCTTTAAGAAAAAAGGAGGCCGGGCGCGGTGGCTCAAGCCTGTAATCCCAGCACTTTGGGAGGCCGAGGCGGGTGGATCAGGAGGTCAAGAGATCGAAACCATCCCGGTCAACATGGTGAAACCCCGTCTCTACCAAAAATACAAAAAATTAGCTGGGCACGGTGGCGCATGCCTGTAATCCCAGCTACTCGGGAGGCTGAGGCAGAATTGCCTGAACCCAGGAGGCGGAGGTTGCGGTGAGCCGAGATTGCGCCATTGCACTCCAGCCTGGGTAGCAAGAGCGAAACTCCGTCTCCAAAAAAAAAAAAAAAAAAGAAAAAAGGAAAGTTAATTAAAAACAGTAGAATGTAGATATCTAAAGTTTCCTTGGAATCATCTTTGAAACAAACTCTTCTGATTATTCTGGCGAATCATAGTACAATGTAATTTTCTGAAGCACAGAACTGTAACTACAAAGCCCTGTTGATGTTTGAATTTCCTGTTCTGTCTGTTCACCTGCCAAAATTAAAAGTATAAAAACCATGAATTGCCTGTAATAAACACACACATCTTTTGGTTGACACAACCTGCAAGTCGTGCTGTCTCCTTCTTCCACCGACGCCTAGCTCACCTTCAGGATCCCCTGGACCCTGCCCGGCTGGACCGCAGCAGCTGACAGTTCAATTTAGGAAAAGGATCAACAAAATATCAAAACCTCTGAGAAAATGCAGGGGGTGGCCAGGTGCTCACACTCTGTAATATCCCAACACTTTGGGAGGCAGAGGTGGGAGAATCACTTGAGCCCAGGAGTTCAAGACCAGCCTGGGCAACATATGGAGACCATATCTCTATGCAAAAATAAAAATTAGCTGATGTGGTAGGACATGCCTGTAGTCCCAGCTACGTGGGAGGCTGAGGTGGGAGGATTGCTTGAGGCCGGAAGGTCAAAGTTGCGATGAGTTATGATCGTGAACTCCAGCCTAGGCAACAGAGCGAGACCCTGTCTCTTAAAGAAAAAAAAATGCAGGGGGATGGGCTGCAGGGGCTTAGGTGTAGGGATTGGCTTAAGTGTGGCTTCAGGTAGGTGTGTCTGGTTGGTGGAGGGAGGAGGGAGTTTAGGTCTTATGGCTCCACTTTCCTAAGTGGATTATACCTAAGGCAGAAAGGGAGTGTGAGAGGGCTGACTGTGGAAATGAACTGATGTAGGGAAGAGCGAAGCAAGCCTACTAGAGATTCAAAGTAGGATCCTTTGGTAACATTGTGTCCGTTTGAGCTTTACCATCAGGAAAGTGAAATCTGCCAGCTCAGTTGTAACTTTCTTCTGAGAATATTCAGCTCTTCAGGTGCAGGTAACAAGCAAATGAAGGGCTCACCCAGGTCTGTGTCTTACACAGGGAAGTGCCATAGGGGGAGAGAATGCCGGAATGGAGGGCGTTCAGGAAGCAGTGATTATAGCAAGTGATCATGTGACAGCCTGGATAAACTGGAGTCAGCAGATAGCACAATGTAGGCTGAAGAATGCCTGGGCATGTATTTCAGGAAATAAACAGGAAATGGTGTTCAGAAAATGCTCGACTGTGTAGCCTCAAAGAAGGCAGGCCCCAGGCTGTACTGTCAACGGTTGTCTTTTGAGCTTCTAACAGTCCCTGGCTCACTGCAGGAGATCACCAATGTTTGCTGAGCTGAACTGGTTGAAGTGAACATGGTGCTATGCAGTGGGTGGATGTCTTGGTCTGGCTAAGATGCTAATTTCTGACCAACTTGATATTTGCCATGCTGGGCCACTTCGTTGGATAATGAAGTCCATCAGTGAAAACAAACAGCTGAAACACATGCCTAGGGACAGGGACAAAATGACCAAGAACTCAAATAAAGCATAGTCAAGCCTGTTTAAAAACAATTTTGTGGGCCGGACACAGTGGCTCACGCCTGTAATCCCAGCACCTTGGGAGGCTAAGGTGCGTCAATCACCTGAGGTTAGGAGTTCAAGACCAGCCTGGCCAAGATGGTGAAACCCCGTCTCTACTAAAAATACAAAAATTAGCCAGGCATGGTGGCGCATGCCTGTAATCCCAGCTACTCGGGAGGCTGAGGCAGGAGAATCGCTTGAACCCAGGAGGCAGAGGTTGCAATGAGCCAAGATTGTGCCACTGCACTCCAGCCTGGGCGACAGAGCAAGACTTCGTCTCAAAAAAAACAAAAACAAATAAAACCCACCAAAACTAATTTTGTGTGTTCCTCAGCCTTATTTCTTGCTAGGTGGGTATTGCCTTTCTCTCTCTCTCTTTTTTTTTTTTGAGACGGAGTTTCGCTCTCGTGACCCAGGCTGGAGTGCAATGGCGCCATCTTGGCTCACCGCAACCTCCGCCTCCTGGGTTCAGGCAATTCTCCTGCCTCAGCCTCCCAAGTAGCTGGGATTACAGGCAAGCGCCACCATGCCCAGCTAATTTTTTGTATTTTTTAGTAGAGACGGGGTCTCACCATGTTGACCAAGATGGTCTCGAGCTCTTGACCTCATGATCCACCTGCCTCGGCCTCCCAAAGTGCTGGGATTACAGGCTTGAGTCACCGCGCCTGGTCGCCTTTCTCTCTTTAACTTTGCTTTCTGAGTAATTTTCTTTAGTAAAAGGTGAGATTTATATGGTCTGAAACCAGATCATGTTTTTTGTTTTGAGACAATCTCACTCTGTTGCCCAGGCTGGAGTGCAGTGACATGATCTCAGCTCACTGGAACCTCTGCCTCCCGGGTTCAAGCAATTCTTCCACCTCAGCCTCCCGAGTAGCCGAGTCTAGAGGCGCAGGCCACCACACCTGGCTAATTTTCGTATTTTTTTGGTAGAGATGGGATTTCACTATCCCATGGCCAGGCTGGTCTCAAACTCCTAGACTCAACTTATACACCCGCCTCAGCCTCCCAAAGTGCTGGGATTATAGGTGTAAGCCACCATTCCCAGCCTCTATTATTTCTTTTTTGAGACAGGGTCTCACTCTTTTACTTAGGGTGGGGTGCAGTGGCACCATCTCGGCTCACTGCAACCTCTGCCTCCTGGGCTCAAGCGATTCTCTTGTCTCAGCCTCCCAAGTAGCTGGAATTACAGGCACATGCCACCATACCCAACTATTATTATTATTATTTTTTTGGTAGAGAGGCAGTTTCATCATGTTGGCTAGGCTGGTCTTGAACTCCTGACCTCAGGTGATCTGCCCACTTTGGCCTTCCAAAGTACTAGGATTACAGATATGAGCCACTGTGCCTGGCCTCTTCAGGCTTTGATGTATCTTACCAAATTGTCCTCCAAAAGGAACATACAATTTATACTAAGTTCTTCTCCACTTGAAATATCTAGAGTGGTTTTGCTTTCCTGATTGATGGAATAGCCCACCATTGAAATTATCTTTGAATATATGACAGTTGTGCCTGACACTGACACTTTTTGAGAGTCTGGTTTGCCTCTGTTGCCCAGGCTGGAGTACATGGTACCATCATAGCTCACTGCAGCCTCAAACTCCTGAGCTCACATGATTCTCCCACCTCTGCCTCCCGAGTAGCTGGGATTACATGTGCCACCACACCCAGCTAATTTTGTATTTTTAGTAGAGATGGGGTTTTGTCCATGTTGGTCAGGCTGCTCTCGAACTCCCGACCTCAAGTGATCCACCTGCCTTGGCCTCCCAAAGTGCTGGGGTTACACACCCGGCCCCTTCCTTCTTTTGTGGAAACAAGGTCTCGCTATGTTGCCAGGCTGGTCTCAAACTCCTGGGCTCAAGTGATACTCCTGCCTTGGCCTCCCAAAGTGCTGGGATTATAGGGGTGAGCCATTGCGCCTGGCCTGAGCCAGTTTTTCTACAAGCAAAGGAAGAGATTGCTGTGTTTTGTTTTGTTTTGTTTTTAGTCAGTTAAACACTAGGGAGGTTCAGTGACTTGCTTTGACAAAACATCTTATATGAAAAACACCTATCTTTGAACACTAGAATCAAACTCAGAAAGATAAGATATGCACACTATGACAGGGACAAAGGAAAGAGATCAATATGAGGGAACAGTGCATTCACAATTTCCATCTAACACAAATGCGATACATACATACATGGAGAGCAGATATCTAAACAACTGGAAACACAGCAGGAGGGCATGCTTTTTTGAAATTGCTAACTTTTTCACTTTCGCTCAGTACCCATATAGCTGAACTTATGTAACGAAATGTTCATAGGATGTGACCCTATTCTCTGCTACAATTAGAGGGATTTGTGAAACTTTTGTCCCGTATTAAAACCATTACTTGTCATTATTTATTAAATCAATTCATATATTCCTTTTTACATTCAAATACACTTTCATATAAATGGTAATACATTTTAATGCTCCAGAGGAAAGAGTATAGATGATCATTTCATACTCTTTCCTCTGGCCATTGTACATTTATTCAACATCAATACTAAAAATAGCTTTACTGACATGTATATAAATATAATCAAACTGAGAAAACGGGACAAGCAATAGTAATCTCAGTTTCTCTCTCTCTCTGACAGAGTCTTGCTGTATCTCCCAGGCTGGAGTGCAGTGGTGCGATCTTTGCTCACTGCAACTTCCGCCTCCCAGGTTCAAGTGATTCTCCTGCCTCAGCCTCCTAAGTAGTTGGGATTGCAGGTGCACGCCACCACACCAGACTAATTGTTGTATTTTTAGTGGAAACAGGGTTTCATCATGTTGGGCTGGCTGGTCTCCATCTCCTGATCTCAGGTGATCTGCCGGCCTCAGCCTCTCAAAGTGGTGGAACTGCAGGTGTGGGCCACTGCTCCTGGCCTTCAACTTTCTTTTTCTACGTCCTCTCCTTCACTATTGTCTTCATAATAAAAGATGTCTCGGAACAGGAACACTTGCTTGGGTGCTGCAGGACTCTGGATTTCAGTGCCTTTTTTCTCCATCATCTTTTCTAACTTTTCTTTAAGCAAAGGTAGAGTAGTCTCATAAAGGTAGTCGATGATCTCTACAGAAAAAAAAATTTAATTGTGCAGTTATCTGTCTGTACAAGACCTCTTATCAAAGTCAAGGCATATTATAGGAGGCTGGTAATGACTATGAACTGTTCTTGTTGCTGTGTGTAGGGTTTGGTTCTAACTGGCTTACTCACATTCACTTCTTCAATCCTTGCAGAAATTCTATGAGGTACATGCTATTTTCAACTTGTTTTTCAACTGAGGAAACCAAGGCATTAAAGACATTAAGAGACTTGCCCACAGCCATGGAGTTCATAAGGATTCCATCCCAGGTAGTGATGTGTGCTAAACACAAAGATGCATTTCATCATAGCCCAGGGTACAGTATCATCCAAATGGTGGGTCCAGGAGAAACACCAGTGCCACACAGAAGGCATGAGACACACAGGCCTGCAAGCTCGTTAGAGAAAATCCAGGCTCTGGACTCACTCTGGAGACTAGGAATTGGTAGGTCTGAAATGAGGCCCAGAAATCTGTATCTTTTTTTTTTTTTTTAATTATTATTATTTTTATTATTGTTTTTAAAGATGGGGTTTCACCATATTGGCCTGGCTGGTCTTGAACTCCCGACCTCAGGTGATTTGCCCGCCTTGGCCTCCAAAGTGCTTGGATTACAGGCGTGAGCCACCACGCCCAGCTTTTTTTTTTTTCTTGAGATGGAGTTTTGCTCGTTACCCAGCCTGGAGTGTGATGGCATGATCTCGGCTCACTGCAACCTCTGCCTCCTGGGTTCAAGCAATTCTCCTGCCTCAGCCTCCCGTGTAGCTGGGACTACAGGCGCACGCCACCATGTCCAGCTAATTTTTGTATTTTTAGTAGAGACGGGGTTTCACCATGTTGACCAGGATGGTCTCGATCTCTTGACCTCATGATCCACCCGCATCGGCCTCCCAAAGTGCTGGGATTGTAAGCATGAGCCACTGCGCCCAGCTTTTTTTTCTTTTTTTGGGACACAGTCTTGCAGTTGCAGTGCAGTGGTGCAATCAAGGCTCACTGCAGCCTGGAACTCCCAGGCTCAAGCAATCCTTCTACCTCTGCCTCCTGAGTAGCTGGGACCACAGACACACACCATAGCCTGGTGAATTTTTGTATTTTTTTGGTAGAGATTGGGGTTGGGGTCTCTCTCCGTTGCCCAGAATGGTCTTGAACTCCTCGCCTTAGGCGATCCTCCCACCTTGGCCTCTGAGAGTGTTGGGATTATAGGCATAAGCCACTGCATCTGACCAGAAATTTGTGTTTTTAACAAGTTCCTCATGTGGCTCTGATAACTAAGTTTGGGACTTACCTATCTAAAACCAACCACAAATAGCTACAAAGAATAAACTGGGTGTCTTTCATTCTTTCTGGAACATGTGTATGTTTCTGTGTGTGTATGGATGTGAGTGCATGTGGATGTGTGTATGTGGATGTGTGTGGGAGTGCATGTGTTGTGTGTGAGTGCATATATTGTGTGTGCAGTCATGTGATGTGTATATGCATGTGAGTGAGTGCATGTGTGTGAGTGCATGTTGTGTGCATGTGTTGTGCATGTGGGCATGTATTGTGCATGAGTGCATGTGTTGTGTGCACGTGCATGTGTGTGAGTGCATGTGAGTACATGTGTTGTGCATGCCGGCATGTGTTGTATGTGAGCGCATGCATGTGGTGTGTTGCATGTCATGTCATCTGTGCATGTGCTGTGTGCATGAGTGTGTGTGTATGTGTGATGGCAACACCAGCAGCACTCAGTTATTTAGAGTGGCCACTAAGTGTCAAGTACCGTGGTGACCACACCTTACACGTTCATGATCTCATTTAGGACTTCTGAAAGTCCTGTCAAATAGGGATTATAATCTGCCTGATTTCACCATTTTGCAACTGATGAAGCCGAGGCTCCAAGTTCAGTCACTTGCCCTGGTGACTCTCATTACCAGCATGTGCCACCAAATGCCATGTTCTTAGTCATAAAATAATGAAGAATACTGACCTGGAAAAGTCTTTTTCTGCCAAAATGGGACATAGATAGCTTTCAGCCTAGAAAATTTAGTTTGAACGTAAGATGGAGGAACATCACTTTAGAACAGGAAAGAAAATACAAAAAGCAAGTTAGTTTAAAAATGTATCATTTCAATACAGTGTAGTAAGTACATTCATTCAGGTGAGGCTTATGGCTTTCTTATCATAAACAAAATCCTGATAAATGTGTGATAAAAATATGACACAATTTTTTGTGGAATATGGAAAGCTATTGTTTACTTGGTTTAAAAAAAATGTAAAGGGGGCCAGGCATGGTGACTCATGCCTGTAATCCCAGCACTTTGGGAGGCTGAGAAGGTGGATCACTAGGTCAGGAGACTGAGACCATCCTGGCTAACATGGTAAAACCTCGTCCCTACTAAAAATACAAAAAATTAGATGGGCATGGTGGCATGGGTGTGTAGTCTCAGCTGTTCGGGAGGCTGAGACAGGAGAATTGCTTGAACCCGGGAGGCAGAGGTTGCAGTGAGCTGAGATTGCGCCACTGCATGCCAGCCTGGGCAACAGAGTTAGACTCTATCTCAAAAAAAAAAAAAACTGTAAAGGGGAAAAAGAATCAGTAATACAGAATAGATTGTGTTTAAATTAAAATAACTTGAATGACTAGTCGAGAAGGCAAAGTATAAGGCCAGCTAATGTGCCGACGCTTATCTTGTGCTCAGTTGTGCCCTAACTGCCTTAAGTGCTGCAATAAATAATCCTCGTGACAACTCAAGGAGGGAGTTACCACTCTCCCCCCATGCCAGAGAGATGAGGAAACTGAGGCACAGAGAAGTTGCCCAAGCTCACATGGCTAATCAGGGATAGAGCTGGGGCTTCACTGGATAGTGTGAGTCCAGATCCTACCCTCTTAACCATTACACTCAGGACATATACATACTAGTCACAATTCAAAGACAGATGTTCCCGGATGTTTATTTTTCAAAGCTAAAAAAAGCAGATGCTTATGACGTTTTGGTATGTTTTCAATTTACAATACATTTCAATTTACAATAAGTGGGTCAGAAACTGTTCTTAAATTGTTTTTTAAAGTAAAAATCACTAATGTAATTTTCTGGGCGCTTTTTCCTAATAAAAGGGGAATATTTAAAAACAACTAATCCAGTTGTTAAAATGATCGCATGAAGAATTTGATCTGTTAAGCATGTAAAGGTGAAAGATGATTGGTTTCTTCCAGCCTCTTCATCACAGCAACCTCTAGCTGAGCACACTTGTGCCAGGTACCAGACTATGTTTATTTCCTGCATTGTCTCCTTTTCGTTTTTTTTTTTTGAGACGGAGTCTCCCTCTGTTACCCAGGCTGGAGTGCAGAAGCACGATCTTGGTCCACTGCAACCTCTGCCTCCAGGGTTCAAGTTCTCCTGCCTCAGCCTCCCAGGTAGCTGGCTGGATCACAGGCACCCGTCACCATGCCCGGCTAAATTTCTGTATTTTTAGTCGACACAGGGTTTCACCATGCTGGCTAGACTGGTCTTGAACTCTTGACTTCAGGTGATCCACCCACCTTGGCCTCCCGAAGTGCTGGGATTACAGACTGAGCAACCTCACCTGGCCCATTATCTCCTTTGGCCCTCCAAATGGCCTATTAAACCATTATGCAGATGAGGTAACAAAGGCTCAGACAATTAGGGAACAATTGCCCAAGAACTTTAAGTAAGTGAAGTCCCTGGACTCTATGCCAAATCTGTCTCACTCTGAAACCCCAGCTCTAAGGCAGCCGGAGCCTTTCCCCTTCCCATAATGCTGTGCGCCCAACATGATGCAGACCCAAGCCCATGCTTCGAGGAATAACAATAATTGATCTGGACATTTTAAATCCATGCAAGTGTTACATCTCATTAGGTGGAGATGCTATCCTTAAATCCTGCTTATGTAATTCACAAAGAAGTCTTTAAGAATCTGAGGAGCCAGGTGCAGTGGCTCACGCCTGTAATCCCAGCACTTTGGGAGGCTGAGGCAGGCGGATCACCTGAGGTCAGGAGTTTGAGACCAGCCTGACCAACATGGAGAAACCCATCTCTACTAAAAATACAAATTAGCTGGGCATGATGGCACATGCCTGTAATCCCAGCTACTCAGGAGGCTGAGGCAGGAGAATTGCTTGAACCTGGGAGGTGGAGGTTGTAGGGAGCCGAGATAGCACCACTGCACTCCAGGCTGGGCAACAAGAATGAAACTCCTCAAAACAAAACAAAAGAATCTGAGTAGGCTGAACCTTCAATATAATTTTTACTATTATAATTTGTTATTAAAACTTTGAGAATATATAGTATTTCAAACAGTATTTGAGTAGATGCCATAATCTCTATTTTAGAGTTCTGAGATTTCTAAATCTTAAATAGATAATCAGTTCATCAGTTACCCTATCCAGATTTTGTAGAGCCCTTTTATTTATTTTTATTTAACTTTTTTTTTTTTTGAGACAGGGTCTTACTCTTCATCCAGGCTGGAATGCAGTGGTGTCACCTGGGGTCATTGCAACATCTCCCAGGCTGAAGCGATCCTCCCACCTCACCTCTAGAGAAGCTGGGACTACAGGCACGTGCCACCACACCAAGCTTAACAATCAGTTTTTAAATATGTAATTTTACTTAAAACTATAAAAACCCATTTTAATTAAAAAAAAATCATGTGATCTGAAGCAATGTCACAAAGTACACACAAATCTAACAGAAAAGTTGAATTTTTTTTTTTTTTTCTTTTGAGATGGAGTCTCGCTCTGTCACCCAGGCTGGGGTGCAGTGGTGTAATCTCAGCTCATTGCAACCTCTGCTTCCTGGGTTTGGGCAATTCTCCTGCCTCAGCCTCCCTAGTAGCTGGAATTATAGGCGTCCGTCACCATGCCCAGCTAATTTTTGTATTTTAGTAGAGATAGGGTTTCACCATGTTGGGCAGGTTGGTCTTGAATGCCTGACCTCAAGCAATCCACCCGCCTCGGCCTCCCAAAGTGCTGGGATTACAGGCGTGAGCCACCACACCCCACAGAAAAGTTGAATTTTTAAAAAGAGGTTTGACATTATAAAGGATGGCTTTGTCAATATGAGTCATTCTCAGGATGGGAGCTGGTGGGGTACACATTAGTGTCACCTCCTTCAAAAGGAGGGCATCCTCCCCTTTTGGGGCCTATGGTACTGAAGAGTGGGTGCCCTGCCCCTCAGACAAGCTAGAAAAGAAACGGCTTTGGGACCATGGCATCTGTCTGTGAGTCCTGACAGGCCCTGGACTAAGAGGTTCCAATTCTCCAAATTCAAGAAGGGAAGAGACGTACTGTCCTTTCTTCTTTGATTATAATCCCAAACCATAAATAACTAACCACTAGAACCAGTTTAAACCCTTCCTAATGGTTCAGCAGAATACTGACTAGAAACAAAACAAAACCCTTCCTAATGGACCAATGGCAACCTCACACCAGTAGTCACGCTCTAGAAGCCAGCCAGGCTGCAGCAGCCTCACCCTACTGTCTACCTTCCAAAACCAAAGGCCAAACAATCCCTCAATATCCCTGCATCTGAAAGTCACTGATCCCGGAGCCCCATGATGCTCAGCAACATATAGAGGGCCTGTGCTCTGCAGCCTAGCTCTCCCTTGCTTAGCAAGCAGTCAGTTCAGATATTGAGAGTGGTGGCTTCTCCAATGGCAGGAAATTGATTAAAATGCAAGAACTATGTGCAGTGAAGTGTCACAGTGAAGGTAAAGAGAGACAGCTTTATAAACACAAGAGCCATGTTCTATCTCACTTGTCAGATGAGAAATGCAAATGAAAACCACAAGGAAACTGACAGATGCTTAAAGAGGAAGCAGATCTTTACACAGTTTCAAAATGTCTCCCCACAGCCATTTCTTAACACCAAAGGAAGAACTAGTATTTTTATATAGTGGAGAAAAGAGGCAGATGCTGCCTTAGCCAAATAATCAAAATGAGAATCATGTGCCTTGTGACATAACGCAGTGATAGAGAACATCAGGAATATGCTGTACTCCTGCCTGAAGGACACAGCCTGAATCTCCTCAAGAGGAAATATCAGACAAATGCAGACATTCTACAAAACAGCTAGCCTGTATTCCTCCAAAATTGCACTATCATCAACAGCAAAGATGGAAAATCTTCATAGATTAAAAGACAGTAAGGAAGGCTGGGTATGGTGGCTCATGCCTGTAATCCCAGTACTTTGAGAGGAATCACTTCATGCCAGGAGTTTGAGACCAGCCTGGACAACATGCCATAACCACATTTCTACTAAAAATACCAAAAAAAAAAAACAACAACCAAAAAAAAACCAAAAACGGTTGGGTGTGGTAGCTCACACCTGTAATCCCAGCAATTTGGGAGGCTGAGGTAGGCGGATCACCTGAGGTCAAGAGTTTGAGACCCCATCTCTACTAAATACAAAATTTAGCCAGGTGTGGTGGCAGGCACCTATAATTCCAGCTACTCAGAGGCCGAGACAAGAGAATCACTTGAACCTGGAAGGTAGAGGTTGCAGGGAGCTAAGATCATGCTACTGCACTCCAGCCAGGGCAACGAGAGTGAAACTCTGTCTCAAAAAACAAAACAAAAAAATTATCCAGGCAGGGTAGTAAGTGCCTGTAATTCCAGCTATCGGGTGGCTGAGGCACGAGAATCACTTGAACCTGGGAGATGGCGGCTGCAGTGAGCTGAGATCATACCACTGTACTCCAGCCTCCAGCCTGGGCAACAGAGTGAGACTCTTGTCTCCAAAGAAAAAAAGACATTGAGGAAATGGAACAGTTAAGCAACGTGTGATCCTTGCTTTAATCTTGAATTAGGGGGAAATGCTATCAAGGGCATCACTGGGACCACTGGTGAAATCTGAATGTGGACCGTGTTTTGGAGGGTGGTGCTGTATCGGTGGTACTAAACTTGCTGATTCTGATTGTACTGTCGTTATGTAAAATACTATCCTTGCTTAGGAAATAGTATCTGCCACTAACTCTTAAACAGTTATGAAGAAAACTGTATTCCTTTGGAGGAGGGAGAGAGGGATGTTAAAATGAATGTAGCAGAATGTTCAGAAGAGGTGATTATGGGTGAAGGGGATCCAGGGTTATTTCTATTATTCTTACCATTTGTTTAGCTTTTTGAAGCCTTTAAGAGACTCTGCATGCATTTCATTTACCTTTCTTGGGTGTCTTCAGTGGCAGGTGGGGTGGAGGGAGGGCTAGCCTTGATTTATTTGGTCCAGAGCACAGAGAGTGGAAGCCCCGAAACACAAGCATGCATCACAGCTTCCCTCTGTTCTGTGGCACTGGCACAGCACCCCGGACCTGCGCAGCGTTTCCTCACCCGAGACTGTGCCCCAGCACTGAAGGGCTGGCACTCTCTGTGCCCCAGCACTGAAAGGCTGGCACTCTCTGTGCCCCACCACTGAGAGGCTTTCTCGTTATTTTTTGTAGCTATAAGGAATTTCACTGTATGGGTAAAATACATATATAGCCAGTCCCCTATTAACAGGCATTTTGCAGTCAGTTATTCTGTATACAAGTCATTTCACATATATGTGAAGTTATTTTGTAGAATGTATTGCTAGAAATGGAATTATTTGATTCCAAATGGAATTACTAGAATTATTTAAATTTTGAAAGGTACCAAGGCTGCAGAGTATGTAAAATTTACTAAAAAAGACAACGATCATTAGAGGAGGTGAATGTAGATGTTTAATAAGGATGGCTGGATTTTGACAGTTGCTGAACTGGGGTGATGGGTACATGAAGGTTCACTTATTTTGTATCTGTCTAAAATTTTCCTAATAAAGTTTCTGAAAAAAAAAATTAGGCTTTGCTAATAAAGCAGTACTTAGAAGAAAACATACGGCCTTCAATGTACATTACAAAGAAAGGAAAATGGAAAATGAGCTAAGAACCCATCTCATGAAGTTGAAAAACAACAGTAAGATCAACTCAAAGAGAGCTGAAAGGAGGGTATGATAAAGAGCTGACTGTAGAACAGTCACAAGATAGGGTCAGTGCAATCAGGGCTGGTGCTTTGAAAAGACAATCTCTGGTAACTCCTATTCAAGGAGTGAGAAAAGAGAGTAGGTATAAATAGCCAACGTTAGCCATCGAACATCACTCAGATTCTGCAGACGTTCTGCATAAACCATCTTCGGAAAATAGACATTGGTTTCCTGCAGGGCTGCATGGCTGGTGGGTGGTGAGGGGATACTTTTCACTGTGTTTCCTTTCACTTTTCTTTAATACTGGACTATGTAATCTATTATCTATTCCAAAAAACAGGTAAAATCAAACTAACAGTCAAGTCCTTTTTCTTATGGGTGGGGCATGATATTCAGTTCTGCATTTGAATTCTTACACACAACTAAAACGTTCTAACTGGGAACCCACCAAGTCATTTAATCATTGAGAAAGCACCAGGTCTCAGCAGGGTAGCATATCAGAAATCACCTGGAGCCCTGAACAATTCCTGATGGCCAGACCCCACAGCAGACCAATCCCACTCGTGTGGTACTCGTATTTTTTAAAAGTTCCCCAGATGATTCTTAAGTGAGAGTTGGGCTGAAAACCACCGAGCTACAGAATTGCTAGTGTTGAGAGTGTAACTGGAATTCCTCCATGTCTGGAGTGTGTGCCGTGCTGTCAAATGTCTGAAGTACCCTGAGGCGTGGGGGTCTGGCCCTGCAGACTCACCCAGCCTGTCTGCTGCCATCATTTTACTCACTGTCCTGGGCCACCTGGCCCCTTTCCAGTCCCTTGAAGGTGCCCAGCCAGTGCCGGCTCAAGGTGTCTGCGTTCACTCCTCTCTGTCCAAATACTCTTCAAGCTCATCCACACATGGCTACCACTTCTGCTTCCCAAAGTCTTCCCTAACCACCCTATCTGATTGCCCCCTGACCCCCAGTCTCTTCTACCCTGTTTTTGTTTGCTTTTTGGTACCTTTGCTGTCTGAAATGAGCTTATTTGTTTACAGTCTCTTCCTGGAATAAAATGTGAGTTCCTAAAGTCCTATTCATCTCTACCTTTTGTGCTTGGGACACAGAAGGTAACCAATAATTATTATTAGTTTGCTATCATTATTATCAATGTAGGCTTTAATTGAATTAATTAATTAATTTTAGAGAGGGTTTCACTGTGTTGGCCAAGATGGTCTCGATCTCCTGACCTCATGATCTGCCTAACTCAGCCTCCCAAAGTGCTGGGATTACAGGCGTGAGCCACCATGGCCTGGCCTATCAATGTAGTTTTTAGGTTAATTCTATAGTATATAAAACTTGGTATCTGCGTCAGCAGAATGGAAGCTCCACCAGGCAAGGAATTTGTCTTTTGTTCAATGTTGTATCCCCAGAGCCTAGAAAAATGCCTGGCATATAGGCACTTGTATTTGGTAGGTAAAGAGTAAAAGTCTGAGTCTTTGATTTTTCAATAACTGAACTTGATAAAATGTATGTACTGGGAAAATAACCTACAATCTCACCTCCATTGCCTGCCGAGGTCAACTCAACTGTATGGTAATACTTCCTTAGGCAATTGTTTTTCCACTGGAAAACTGAAATAGGAGGGAAGTGGGTGGGCCACATATATGCTCTAGCTAAAATCTGTAATCACAAAACATCTGAGGTGTGATGATGTATGTGACATTAAGAAAAGGGAAGAAAAATAAACAGCATATCCAACTAATGAAATATTTACTATCATAAAAACCTCATCTATCTAGCAGCTGAGAGCCTTTATGTACAGTTTGCTCCTAAAATTATGTTTTCCTCTGCATTAACAGGTTGGTTTCCTAGCAAATACACTGAATTTTAACCACCACTTAAACAAAATTCCAAATACAGCAATCATGGTGTGATCATGATCATTATCAGCCCAGTAAAATGATAGGCAGTTATTATATTATCTCTGATTTTAATTAGTTATTTTTTTGAGATGGAGTCTTAGTCTGTCACCCAGGCTGGAGTACAGTAGCATGATCTTGGCTCATTACAACCTCTGTCTCCTGGGTTCAAGCAATTCTCTGCCTCAGCCTCCCAAATAGCTGGGATTACAGACACCTGCCACTACACCAAGCTAAGTTTTGTATTTTTAGTAGAGACAGGGTTTCACCATATTGGCCACGCTGATCTCAAACTCCTAACCTCGTGATTCACCCGCCTTGGCCTCCCAAAGTGCTGGGATTACAGGTGTGAACCACCTTGTATGACATTTTAATTTAATATTAAACAAGTGGTCTTACCCTATGGCACTAGCAAGATCTTCCCAGTCTATTTCATTAGTATCTTCCACGTTTATTTCATACAACCTGTGAGAAAAAATAAAAATTAAATTTTCAAGCAAAATCAGCATGACAGACATCTTCAGGGACACATGGAATGCTGAGAGCTGGAAAGTTCCTGTGATTTCGCCCATATTGGCTCCCTCATTACACATGCCTGGTGAGGTCAGCATCCCAGCCCAAGGTTAATCCAAGGTCAGTGAGTTGGTGGGCTACAGAGATGGGCTGAAAAGATCCCTCTCCTCCTTCTGAGTCCTTTGCGTCTCTCACCAAACCATGTTGCTTTCTCATAGTAAAAAACACCACCTCATCATTCAGCATAGACACACAGGAAGAGTGCATCTATGCTATGTGACAGACACTGTGAAGTTCTTTTTTTTTTGACACAGGGTCTCACTCTATCACCCTGGCTGGACTGCAGTGGCGTGATCATGGCTCACTGCAGCCTCAACCTCCTGGGCTCAGGCAACTCTCTTACTTCAGCTTCTCAAGTAGTTGGAACCACAAGGGCGTGGTACGATGCCTGGCTAATTTTTAAATTTTCTGTTGGAATTATGGGCATCATCCACCATGCCCAGCCAGTTAAGACCTTAAAGTGCACAAATCCATTTACGGTAACCCTCCACACCACTGGACTCTACGGACAGGGAAATGGTGCCAAGAGAGTCAGTCACGGGCTCTAGACTGCATGACTAATGAACCCAGGCCTGCTTGAGATGCCCTTCTTCGATCTGCTAATCAATGGTGTCTCTCCAGCAGGGAAGACTGGGCGGGGCATAACCACCCCCTTGATCCACCCCTAGGAAAGAGGATCAGGAAACCCACAGTGAGCCTTAGGCAGAGTTCATGCGTGAGGTAGAGGGAATGAAGGCAGACGCAGGGCCAGGACCCAAGGCTTCTGCTGCTCTTTGCTGTTCCTCAGTAGACTCATGGGCCAGGTCCACTAGTTTCACACACATCACAAAACAGGCCCACGTCCCCCTTTCCCTCGCCACCCTTCAACACTTCAGGGGGGACCCTGCAGGGACCAGAAACTTAAAGACAAAACCAAAGACAAGCAAGGATGACACCAATAAGCTCGTGCTGGAGCACAGGAGGGCTCTGTCTGAATCACCTACCCCCATTTTCCAATGGGCATAATAATTTATATCCATATGAAATGCTCCAAAGACTAAAATAACTACATGGGGCACACAGTACATTTCACACGTTATTTTCTTTTATCCTCCTGAAAGCACGAAGAGGTAGGTATGACTATCATCATCCTCAGTAGATGAGTTAAGATGGGTAAAGTGAGACTTGGGAGTTCATATGCCCACAATACATGCAGGAATTGCTGGAACAAGCATTTGGACCCTGGCAATCTCACTGCACTCTGCTGGGTTAACAGCTTCTCTTTGACTAGAGACAGAAAGTTAAGAGGCCTCTGTTTCTATTTCCGTACCTTTCAATTAGGTTGACTTTGGCCTGCAGGCCATTAACTCCATAGTATAGGCGCTGACCATTGGTCATCCTCTTGGTTAGAATTTCTGTCCTGCATTAAAAGGAAGAAAAATATAGTTCACTTTCAAGGGTAGAGTTTTCATTAAAATTTCCTGTATGTTTCTCATCTAAATTGCTCTCATTCAGAACCAACTTCTAACTTTTCTTTTTTTGAGACAGAGTCTCACTCTGTCACGCAGGCTGGAGTGCAGTGCTATGGTCTCAGCTCATTGCAACCTCCACCTCCTGGGTTCAAGTGATTCTCAAGCCTCAGCCTCGGAGTAGCCGGGATTACAGGCGTGCACAACAGCAGGCTAATTTTTGTATTTTTAGTATAGACAGGGTTTCACCATGTTGGCCAGGCTGGTCTCAAATTCCTGGCCTCAAGTGATCCACCTGCCTTGGCCTTCCAAATCACTGGGATTACAGGTGTGAGCCACAGTGCCTGATCCTCAATGTATTCTGACTATGCACACAGCCATTGGTCTTATTACCATTGCCAGCCTTGGAACATCAAATAAGACAAATTTAGTAAAGTGATAAATGATTTGATGATTCCTCTAATGCCAAAGCTAGCAGCTGCAGGCTGACTGAAGTTTCTAGTAAGGGCCGTGACCCAGTTAAAAATATTTTAGGCCAGGCGCGGTGGCTCAAGCCTGAAATCCCAACACTTTGGGAGGCTGAGGCAGGTGGAGACATCGAGACCATCCTGGTCAACATGGTGAAACCCCGTCTCTACTAAAAATACAAAAAATTAGCTGGGCATGGTGGCGCGTGCCTGTAATCCCAGCTACTCAGGAGGCTGAGGCAGGAGAATTGCCTGAACCCAGGAGCGGAGGTTGCGGTGAGCCGAGATCGCGCCATTGCACTCCAGCCTGGGTAACAAGAGCGAAACTCCATCTCAAAAAAAAAAAGTATTTCAAAACTACTTATCTTGAATAGCAAAATGTGTCATAATCTGATAGATCATTAGCTGTTATACTTACATTCTTGGTAACGGAGTATATGATACACACTCTGATCAATAGCACTGTTGCTCTTAATGACAGCCATCCACGTTTACAGGGTTGAAATGTACCAGTGGAGGTCATTTCAATGTTACATAAGGTACATATATGTTCAAAGTTTCCTATTTTTATCTCAAATTAACAGCGAACTCTTGCATGTTACCTTAATTATGCTGATCTTGCAGCAGTACTACCCTTAATGATCACCATGTCTTTTTAAAATTAAATTAAATTTTTTTTTTTTGAGACGGAGTTTCGCTCTTGTTACCCAGGCTGGAGTGCAATGGCGTGATCTCGGCTCACCGAAACCTCCGCTCCTGGGTTCAGGCAATTCTCCTGCCTCAGCCTCCTGAGTAGCTGGGATTACAGGCATGTGCCACCATGCCCAGCTAATTTTTTGTATTTTTAGTAGAGACGGGGTTTCACCATGTTGGGCAGGATGGTCTCGATCTGTTGACCTAGTGATTCCACCCACCTCGGCCTCCCAAAATGCTGGGATTACAGGCTTGAGCCACCGCACCCAGCCCATGTCTTTTTTTTTTTTAAACAAAGTCTTGCTCTGCCACCCTGGCTGGGGTACAATGGCATGATCTCAGCTCACTGCAACCCCCGCTTCCCCAGTTCAAGCAATTCTCCTGTCTCAGCCTCCCAAGTAGCTGGGACTACAGGCATGCGCCAGCATACCCAGCTAATTTTTTGTATTTTTAGTAGAGATAGGGTTTCACCGTATTAGCCAGGATGGTCTCAATCTCCTGACCTTGTGATCTGCCTGCCTTGGCCTCTCAAAGCATTGGGATTACAGTTGTGAGCCACCGTGCCCAACCCTCTTTTTAACAATGGTGTATCATCCTCTAATCGAGGCTTACTACTCACTCTTCTTTCTTTCAGCTAAAAATAGGGAGTAGAAAGAGCTCTGGTTCCTTCAACATTCCTGGTTCTTTGGAGTTTATTTCCCTGGAGTTGTAAGGTACGTAAACAGTGTGATCCAGGAGTCTGCTTTTAACATAAAATATGCTACTCTGGATTTCACTCCTATTTATTATTCAAGAGCCACTGAGTGCCCTTCGTGCACAATTTGGGGTATCATGAGCGTCCAGAACCACTGGTTTAAGGAGTCTCGCTGCAGCTGGACATCCAGCTCTGCAACTCTCCAGGTCTTGGAAAAGCTATATCCAGCAAAGAATGTGTGGCAAGAGCAGGACTGAAACTATCTCTATGTGACTGATGCAGCCAGCAGTATGCCTACCTCACTTCCACTGAGGAACTGCTGAAATAGAAAGCATATTAGAAGGGCGGAGCTGCTATTGATCACTACACTTGTGATTTCTCTCTGTATGTTTCCTCCCTCCCTCCCACCTCAGCCTCCTGAGTACCTGGGACTCTAGGCATGAGCCACGACATCTGGCTAATTTTTGTACTTTCGGTAGAGACAGGGTTTTACCATGTTGGCCAGGCTGGTCTTGAACTCCTATGATCTGTGATCTGCCTGCCTCAGCCTCCTAAAGTATTGAGATTACAGGCATAAGCCACCATGCTCAGCCCCTGTCTTTTCTTCTAATATTACCAACAGACTGCTACCTTGTTTTATTAAAGACTTAGAGAGTAAAGAAATCAGAAGTCAATATTCAGTTTTAAAAAGGTTCAGGTTCTTGCAACAAACTTGCACATTCTGCACATGTACCCTGGAACTTAAAATAAAAACTAAAATGTTTAAAAAAAAAAATGCCGGGTGTGGTGGCTCATGCCTGTAATCCCAGCACTTTGGGAGGCCGAGGTGGGTGGATCATGAGGTCAGGAGATCGAGACCATCCTGGCCAACATGGTCTCTAATAAAAATACAAAAAAATTAGCTGGATGTGGTAGTGCATGCCTGTAGTCCCAGCTACTCAGGAGGCTGAGGCAGGAGAATTGTTTGAACCCAGGAGGCAGAGACTGCAGTGAGCAGAGATTGTGCCACCGCACTACAGCCTGAGCAACTGTCCAAGACTCCATCTCGGGGTGGGGGAGGAATAAAAGGTTCAGGTTCCTTAGGAGGAAACCATATACTCTTCAATGCATCAGGGCTATTTAGGTGCTAATTTACATCAGAGTGTGATACTGTGATACTGAAGCAGCGGGGCAGTGGACTAGACATGACACATAAGCTTCCACATGGCAGTTATGCAGATGTTCTTGGTAACCTCACCTCTCCACAGATGGAGAGATAGAGAGAACTTACCACTTACTTTTACACTGCATCCAATTTCTGCTCTTCACTTTGGCTTCTACTTCTACCCAAGATATGCCTTTGTAGAGTTTTTCCCGAACAATTGATAGGCAACTCTCAGGATCTCCTTGGAGTTTGGAATCCACGTCTTCTAACTCCTGGGGAGACATTTTCTTTAGAACCACTTCTTCAACAGCCTTGATTAGTTTCTGGGTTTCTGACTTACTCCAAGCACCACGATTTCTTTCTGTAGATATAAAAGGATGGGCTTACAGTTGCTAATCTATTTGCTTTCAAACACAATATTAAAAAAAAATGATAAATCAGGTACTTTTCAGAAATAATGGGTATCTCAATTATAAAGCAATAAAACGAATAAATAATAAACACAATTATGTACACATTTAAATGAATTATTAACATGGTCATGGACTCTTTTTAAGAACTAAAGCCAGAAAGTATTAAAGAAGTCCTTTCTTTTTTTTTGAGATGGAGTCTCACTCTGTCTCCCAGGCTGGAGTGCAGTGACACAATCCCTGCTCACTGCAGCCTCCACCTCCCGGGTTCAAGCGATTCTCCTGCCCCAGCCTCCTGAGTAGCTGGGACTACAGGCGCATGCCACCACACCCAGCTAATTTTCTGTATTTTGTATTTTGAGACAGGGTTTCACGGTATTAGCTAGGATGGTCTCAATATCCTGACTTCGTGATCTGCCCACCTCGGCCTCCCAAAGTGCTGAGATTATAGGCATGAGCCACCACGCCTGGCAAAGAAGTCCTATCTTAAAATAATTTTTTTTTTTTAAGACGGATTCTGGCTCTGTCGCCCAGGCTAGAGTGCAGTGGTGCGATCTCAGCTCACTGCAACTTCCACCTCCTGGGTTCAGGCAATTCTCCTGCCTCAGCTTCCCAGCTAATTTTTGTATTTTTAGTAGATACAGGGTTTCACTGTGTGGGCCAGGCTGGTCTTGATCTCCTGACCTTGTGATCCACCCACCTTGGCCTCCCAAAGTGCTGGGCTTACAAGTATGAGCCACTGTGCCGGCCAAAGCAATGCTTTATTTATTTATTTCAAAATAGTTGTTCATCCTGTTTCCGAGAACAATGTCTCCTGCATGAAACTGTGAGGTTCCCAAATACTTAATGGGGGGAAAAAACCAACCAAATGACTTTTATGTTCTATACATGTCTCCTGGTCAAGCATTCCTAGTGTAACATTCATAGCCACAATGATACCAACACAGTACTTGATGAAAGCACCTGAGGATTTCTGAAGGTGAATCAATGGTGGATGCCCAAAGCATCGATGGTTCACCCTTCTTCACCAGACACTCACAGTCACGCTAAGTAAGGAGCCTCACACTGGCAGCCTGCAATTCTCTTTGGTTTGGCCCACTGAATGTTACATTTTCCCCTCATTAACAATTTGGATGAGTATTTAAAAATCAAGAGATTTCCAAGAAAGAAAAAAAGTATCTAGAGTTCACAAAAAAAAAAAAAAAAAAAAAATTCAAGATTTTCCCTTCAATTCTTGGAAACTTGAAGAACTGGCTGCAAGGCACTACCTGTGTGGCTGGAGTGTACGAGCCCCGTGCTAAGCAGTAACCCCCATAAGGACTGTCTCCTTAAAGGAAACCTTTGAGGAAAGGGAGACAGAGACAGGTCACTAACACTGGTTTTGAGAGAAGTCCCCGCCCGACAGGCATGAACTACATGCCTGCCTCCCTCCCAAGGTGTCCCACGCCACCACGGGGAAGTGACCCTATGCCCAGGCTCTACCACCAGTTTCTTGGGGGTGCTGGTCCACTTGGCAGTTACATTTGCATGGACAGTTACTAAAGTATGGTAAAAATCAGTCTAGTAGGTAAAGGTTGCGTGGTTTCACTGAATACACACGACGAAACCAAATCCATTAGTATAGAGAAGAGCTTAAGAAACAAAGCTCTCGGCTGGCCATGGTGGCTTACACTTGTAATCCCAGCATTTTGGGGGGCTGAGGCAGGCAGATCACAAGGTCAGGAGATTGAGACCATTCTAGACAACATGGTGAAACCCCATCTCTACTAAAAACACACAAAATTAGCCAGCACAGTAGTACATGCCTATAGTCCCAGCTACTCGGGAGGCTAAGGCAGGGGAACCGCTTGAACCTGAGAGGCGGAGGCTGCAGTGAGCTGAGATTTTGCCACTGCACTCCAGCCTGGCAAAGAGTGAGACTCTGTCTCAAAAAAAAGAAAAAAGAAAGCTCTCACAGAAGATAGGTCTGGGGTGATTTCTGGGCACTGGATCAGTTATGGCTGAACCAGGCCTGTCAGGGTTAATTTCTTCACACAGGTGGGTACTGGTGGCCGCCACTTACGACTGCTGATCTGGGAGAACTTCAGGGCCACGGACAGGCTACTGCGGGCCACCATCTCGCCAATCGTTTTCCAGTCATTCCCAAAGAGAGACTGGTACATCTTTAACTTCTCGGTATCTCCTTCAGTATACCTGAGAAAGGGAAAATGTTTTAGAAGTTTAAACTACGAGATTAAAAATGATATTCTCATCATGGTACGAAGCAACTGTGGGAAAAGCTGAATGGGGCAGGCTGTCAGGAAACCTGGTCAGAGCTCTCTTCACTTCCTGTTGGTGTCTCAATGGTAGTTAACCTATCAATCAATCAATCCATCAATCACTGAAGTCCCAGACCAGAGGCCTGGCTCAAGTGCATAGCAGCCAGGGCAATCACTTAGCCCTTACTTAGCTCAGAGCCTCTGTCCCTGTGGTGGAAACGGCCTTCCTCCACCCTGCCTGGACAGCACCTGCACATTTGCCAGTGCAGTTTAAAGGGTGTATTTTTAGGGAGTGCCTCCCTGACTCCCTTAGCCTGAAGGCCCCTTGTTGACTGCTTCTGGAGAACCCTGTGCTTCTCTATCCTAGCACTGTTCATACCTGCATTCACACAGGCACAGGCTCCCACGTTCAGGTCTCCTCCTCTACACCCGCGCTGCCCGACAGAAACATAATGCGATCCCCCTACTGATTTTCAGTTTCCCAGAGGAAAATTCACCTTAACCGAGTTTTAATAAAACAAATTTCAAGAATATGTTTCTTACATGGATGTGTGTGTGATGAAAAACAAAAATAAAGAAACATATATTTAATTAAACTCAATATATTAAAAATGCTGCATTTCAGTGCGTCAGTATCAAAAAATATCAATGATGTATTTTACATTCGGTTCTTGATCTTAAGCCTTAAAACCCAGCATGCGTTTTACTCGGATAGCACACCTCAATGTGGACTACCTACATTTCAAATATTTGATAGGCTCAGAAGGCTGCTGGTCACCATGCTGGCAGACACAGCTCTAGAAGGTAAGTTCCATGAAGGTAGAGACCTTGTTGGTTTTGTATACTATGGTATCCATAATGCTTGACGGACAATAGACATTCCATAAACATGCAACAAATGGCTTGCTCTCAATATGTAACTACTTAAGAAATTTAAAGTGCATTAGTCCTACATAAAAATTCATGTATGAGAGAAAAGTACTAAAAAAAAGCACTATAATGTTATAACTAGATTTTGAGATTAAACACCCAAATATTTAAGAAAAAGCAACCTTTATAACATCTTAAGATGCCTATCTGAATAGGAATGTGGTTTACATCATCACTAAGGCAACACAAAAGAAGTCCTAGGAAAATACTAACAATTTATTTTTTCGTTTTTTTTTTATTTTGAGACAGGGTCTGGCTCTGTCACCCAGGCTGGGGCACAGTAGCGTGATCATGACTCACTGCAACCTCCTGGGCTCAAGTGATCCTCCCACCTCAGCCTCCCAAGTAGCTGATACTACAGATGTATGCCACCATACCAGGCTAATTTTTGTATTTTTTGTAAAGCCATGTTGCCCAGGCTGTGCAAACTCCTAATCCAGTGATCTGCTCACCTTGGCCTCTCAAAGTGCTGGGATTACAGGCATAAGCCACCACACCCAGCCAAAAATAAACAATAACATTGTAGAGTTTTCAGACATTTGTCTGTAAATGAAGCATATGGTGAATAAAAACTGGTTATTCTTCACTATTTTCTTTTTTGAGACAGTCTTGCTGTGTCGCCCAGGCTGGAGTGCAGTGGCGCAATCTTCCTGCCTCAGCCTCCCAAGTAGCTGGGATTACAAGCATGCACCACCATGCCCAGCTAACTTTGTATTTTTAGTAGAGATAAGGTTTCACCATGTTGGCCAGACTAGTCTTAAACTCCTAACCTCAAGTGATCTGCCCAGGCTGGTCTCAAACTCCTAATCCAGTGATCCACCCACCTTAGCCTCCCAAAGTGCTGGGATTACAAGTGTGAGCCACTGTGCTTGGGCTATTCTTCACTATTAAGAATCATGGCTGTCAGCCAGCTGTGGTGGCTCAAGCCTGTAATCCCAGCACTTTGGAAGGCCAAGGTGGGTGGATCACTTGAGGTCAAGAATTTAAGACCAGCCTGGCCAACATGGTGAAGCCCTGTCTCTGCTAAAAATACAAAAATTAGCCAGGAGTGGTGGCACATGCCTACAGTACTAGCCTCTCAGGAGGCTGAGGAAGGAGAATCACTTGAATCCAGGAGGTGGAGGTTGCAGTGAGCCAAGATTGTACCACTGCACTCCAGCCAGGGTGACAGCCTGAAAATAAATAAATTTTGACAGTCTCAAAATAAATAAATAAAGTAATAATTCTTTTTTTCCAGTCAGCAGTTGCTTAACTTATAAAAATATTCTAAAGGGGAATGATCACTACAACACAAATATAGCACAAGTAGATGAACTGCTACATTATTAGAATGACTCTAAAAATTACTCTAAAAGTTTCATTCCTCTCTGTGTGTCACAGGTGGAAATACATTACCTCAGCTGCCACCATTAACTTGCCAAAAGCATTCTTTTATGTCCCATTTAAAATGTCACCTTTAGTGGATTTTCTTAAAGTTCTATTCACAACTGTCTAACCTCGGGGTTTGGGCAAACCAGGCAGGGCAGGCCCCAGTCTGTGTGTGAACTTTCCTCACCCAAGGCTGATTTCTTTCAGTAAAAATTTTAAAAAGGAAACTGAGGTCTTAATCAATTTGGAAGTTTAGGTAATGACCTATGTCTTGGTTTAAAATCAGAGCTAAGCAGAACTCAACTGCCATTGCCAGAAGATTTATGAAACTTGCCTCTCAGGTCAAGTAGTTGAGTAGAAGGTAGTTTTTGAAAGAAGCGCTAACACATGCCTGCTTTTCCTTCTGTCCTTGAGCAGAGCGCTAACCCAAACACTTGATCTAGGTGTGTTTGTTTTTAAATGTGGAATGTTGGAAAAAATTATAATTGGTATTATATCTGGGGAAAAGGGAAGAGAGAATAACAACCGGGTTAAGCACTCGGTTGATACCACTGAACTGCACTTAAGGGACCTAATCCCAGCACTTACCTCCACCTTCAGATAGTTAAAACCCACAGCACTGTGCTAAGTGCTGAAGGGAATATCGGTTGAGCAGGGATGTTTGGGTTCACAAGGAGCTTCCGATGGAGCGGAGAGCAGAGAAAACAGGAGTAACAGCACACGAGGCAGAGTGGGGAGTGCTAAAGAAAATGCGTAGAGAAAGCTGCAGATGCAGAAGGTGGGAGGTCCCTCAGGCTTTGCTAGAGGTGGGAATGGAAAAGGGCCTTGAAGACACACATTTGACAACAAAGACACCATCCGGCTTCACACATACAAATCTTCATGATTTTCACTTCTAATCCACTGCTGTGAGTATTTTGATTTATCGTATCAGCAAAGACTAGAGAAATGTTCTGTCTCAAGCTGCTGAGACTTTTTTCTTACCTGCCTTTGTAATTGTTGACATCGAACATCTTCTTTGCTCTATAGTATATAAGTTTCCAGGGCCGGGCAATGTTCCTACCTAAAGTCGGATGAAAGGTGATCAGAGGGGCTTATGTGAAATGAAGTGGCAATTGTAAAAGGAACCCAGAACAGCCCTTATAGCAACATGAACTATCCTAAGCCCTGTGTTAAGGCTGGGATTTCCTATGTCCTGAAGAAAGCTGTCTTGAAGAGCAGATAGACACAATCGTCAGTTTCCTTGGAGAGCTCTGAAAACAAAATGCTTAGTACCTTAAGGCTCCAGCTTCCGGTCTACGCAATTTGTGGCAAAGTAATTTTAACATAATTTGAATTAAGAGGAAGAGAACACTAAGGTGGAGAATACAGGCTAACAGTTCTCCAGAAGACGAACGACCATCTTTCCCAAATCAGCATTTCTCACTTTCTCACTCTAAGGTGAAATCATCCCTCAACAGGGGTGCACTAGTCTGTTTTTCTTCATGCATTCCACGGAACATCTAAGAAATGATCCTCTTTAAATCCAAGAGAGATTTTCTTTCGCTCTGATCCTATATGACTGCGTGACCTTCTAACTTCATAAGCAGCACCTCTAGTCCAAGGGTTCTAGCTACAAAGCACACATATGGCCACACTTAAAATACATGGGAGACCAGGGTGCGGATAAGGATGTGCTTTGTGTAGCGCACACAAAATTTCAGTAAGGAACAGGAGAAACCACAACTACTACTATTGCCAAGGAAGAAAGGTAAAAGTCGATCTTTTTTTTTTTTTTTTTGAGATGGAGTTTCACTCTTTTGCCCAGGCTGGAGGGCAATGGCATGATCTCGGCTCATGGCAACCTCCACCACCCAGGTTCAAGTGATTCTCCTGCCTCAGCCTCCTGGGTAGGTGGGATTACAGGCATGTACCACCACATCTACTTAATTCTGCATTTTTAATAGAGGTGGGGTTTCTCCATGTTGGTCAGACCGATCTCGAACTCCCAATCTCAGGTGATCTGCCTGCCTTAGCTTCCCAAACTGCTGGGATTACAGGTGTGAGCCACTGCACCTGGCTTTTTTTTTTTTTTTTTTGAGACAGAGTCTTGCTCTGTCGCCCAGGCTGGAATGCAATGGCGCAATCTTGGCTCACTGCAACCTCCATTTCTGGGTTCAAGTGATTCTCCTGCCTCAGCCCCCTGAGTAGCTGGGATTACAGGCACCCGCCACCATACCCAGCTAATTTTTGTATTTTTAGTAGAGATGGGGTTTCACCATATTGGCCAGGCTGGTCTTGAACTCCTGACCTCATGATCCACCCCCGCCGCCTTGCACTCCCAAAGTTCTGAGATTACAGGCATGAGCCACTGCACCCGGCTGATCATTAAATTTTTCACACTGTACTTAGGAGACATGGACACATTCCAAATCCCCAAAAGTCCAGACTGGCCATAAGAATACCATCATCCATCACAGTAGTTAATGTGTGCTGCATGCAGGCAATGGGCCAGGTACCTGTGCTAGCCATTACCATGGGTTATCTTGTTTATGGCTGGAAGGCCGTGGATGCTCAAAGAGTGATCGTTTCTTAACTTACCAATGTGCAATCTAAACGAGTGTCTCCTTTTTAAGTTGGTGATCACAGATTTTTCCTCTGGGTATCTGTCTGTATACAGCAGCTTGTCAGCACTCTCAATTCCTGTCAGGGCTAGAAAGTCTTGCACATTTTTCTCTAACTGCTTATTTTCCTTGACAGAAAACTTTCCAAATTTAATAGCAACACCTAGGATCGGGAGGGACCAGGGAGAGAGTGTGTATTGTTAATAATGAACAAAAGCAAACCTATTACTTGGTTTTTCATCAGCAATGGCAGGACCATGGCCCAACAGTCCCAACACCTGACACTTGTTCTCCTGGTCCCACATGCAGATTAGCTTTTCCTTCAGGGTTCAGCACAAGCCACACCTCTTCTGTCAATGTCTTCCCTGGTCATCCTATTCCAAAGGGACCTATTTCTTGGTCAGATTGTGTCATCAATCTTTTTTAAAAACAGTTTTCAAACTGATTTGTACATTCTTTAGAGGTAAGGTCTTGCTTTTTCACCCAGGCTGGAGTGCAGTGGCATGACCAAGTTCACTGCAAACTTGAACTCCTAGGCTCAAGCAATTCTCCTGCCTCAGCCTCCTGAGTAGCTGGGATCACAGGTGTGTGCCACTACACCTGGTTAATTTTTTATTTTTATTTTTGGTAAGATGGGGTCTTGCTGTGTTGCCCAGGCTAGTCTTAAACTCTGGGCCTCAAGCAATTCTGGGTTGGCCTCCCAAAGTGCTGAGATTACAGGTGTGAGCCACCTCGCCTGGCCTAGGTTTACTTTAAAAACACCTTGTATAAAATAAATACTCATACAAATTTCAACACAATACATTGATAAAATGGGATTTTATACTACTCTATAATTGTATGCACATGTGTAGTGCCATCTTTTTTTGCTTAATTTGTCTTGTCTATTTTTTTGAATCTCTCCAATCTCATTGATTCTGGAAGGCTAGGACTCTTCCTTTTACTTTTCTCAGTGACCAGTGGTATTGGGTTTCACACATCAGATACTCAGTAAATATTGCTCATTTGTAGTACACAGCCTTAAATTTGCATTTATTCTTTTTTTGAAATTTTTTTATTTTTTTATAAGACAAGGTTTCACCATGTTGGTCAGGCTGGTCTTGAACTCCTGGCCTCAAGTGATCCACCTGCCCCAGCCTCCCAAAGTGCTGGGATTACAGGTGTGAGGCACTGCGCCCGGCCTGCAGTTTATTCCGAAATCCAATAAGCTTTATTATTGGATTTAAGAATAATAAAGGTTATTTATTATCCTTAATAATTCTTAATAAAGGAGGTTCAGAAACACAGTGAAATTAAGGAGGAGATCAAGTTCACCACAATGGCTCACTATCAATTTAATATCTTCCAGAAAGAAATGATACCTAATTAAAGCTGATGATTTTAATTTGACAGCATTTTAATGTTATATTAACTGTTATATCCTTTCCAATGTCTCAACCAATCAACCTCTTGCCCCTTCTCTTCTTGCTGCAGATTAATTATCTGGTCCCTTTACTAGAAACTGGGCAAGAAGAGGAAAAGCAGCCCACTTCATTTTGCTAATTTTCCAGCTCAGACAATTCTGGTAGGAGACAGAGCTGAAGGCAGCGACAGGATGCTTCTTGTTGATCTATAAATCTGAATCATCCATAAAAGAAAGTCAGGTGCTAGCTGTGCATACAGGAAGTTCAACAAACACTAAGGCTCCACAAGCTCACCTTGTGCTTTAAATTCCTTAAACCGGTCCAGGTCATCCCGGTACATCCGCCTGATCGTGCTGGTGGCCCTGTCCTTGATGTTAGGGATGAACTCCTGAAGCTGTCTCACGGCAGAACCCAAATCTGCATCTGAATCATCAGCATCTCCTAAATTTTCAGATAAATATCTTGTTTTGGAATCTTCAGCTGATTCCACATTGCGTTCTTCATTTGCAGGTTCTAACCTAAGTGGGAAAATTGGGTTGACTAACATTAACACATCACTTGATCTCATAGCTTTTAAACTTTTCTTCCTGTTTTTTCTTGAGACAGAGTCTCCCTCTGTCGCCCAGGCTGGAGTGCAGTGGTGTGATCTCAGCTCACTGCAAAGTCTGCCTCCCGGGTTTAAGCGATTCTCCGGCCTCAGCCTCCTGAGTAGCTGGGATTAGAGATGCACGCAACCACGCCTGGCTAATTTTTGTATTTTTAGTAGAGACAGGGTTTTGCCACATTGGGCAGGCTGGTCTCAAACTCCTGGTCTCAAGTGACCCACCCATCTCAGCCTCCCAAAGTGTTGGGATTACAGGCGTGGGCCACCACACCCAACCTTAAACTTTTCTTCAAATGGCTTTCACTTAGACTACTAGAATTTTTTTTTTTTTGAGATGGAGTTTCGCTCTTGTTACTCAGGCTGGAGTGCAATGGTGCGATCTTGGCCCACTGCAACCTCCGCCTCCTGGGTTAAGGCAATTCTCCTGCCTCAGCCACCCGAGTAGCTGGGACTACAGGCATGCACCACCATGCCCAGCTAATTTTTGTATTTTTAGTAGAGACGGGGTTTCACCTTGTTGACCAGGATGGTCTGGATCTCTTGACCTCATGATCCACCCACCTCGGCCTCCCAAAGTGCTGGGATTATAGGCGTGAGCCACCACGCCCAGTGACTACTAGAATATTAAAGCAAGATGAGATCCTGGGGTTGACTCAGTCCATGATTTTCAAACTCTTTATTGGAACTTGAATTACTTAGATATACTTCAGAGGCAGCATAGAAGTTAAACGTGCAGCCCTAAGCCCTATATCCACTCATACTATTTTTCATTTAAATTTACTCATAGATTTTTCAGGGCTGGAATCGCTCTTAGTGAAAACAGAATCTAACTGCTTTATTTCATACATGAAGAAATTAAACTACCTGCCAAGTTTACTCAATTAAAGATGTATGATATTCTGTACATTGAGGGTCTACCTCTTGATGATTTCTGCCATTTAATAGGTACATGCTAAATAAAGAGGCATGGGCAGAATCCGTACAAGAGACATATACCAACAGCTGGAATACCATTCCCACGTTACCTTGGTACCTCTTGCACACGCCTGTTTTCTGAATAGGCCTGGGTTTTCTTTGGCTGGGGCCTGGGTTTCACACTTGCTTTAATCATAGTGCCACTGCCTTCTACTGAATCAAAGAGCGTGCTCGCAGATTTCTTACTAGACACTGGAAGATCATCGGCAGATGCTACGGCCCCTTTGACAGGCATCAGCTTCCTTTTCTTAGACTTCTTCTTTGTACTGCTGGATTCCTTGACCCCTTTCAGTGCACTCCTGCCCTCCACAGCCTCAACCTCAATGCCCACTTGTGATCCTTCAGGGTATGCACTCTCAAGGCTCTCAGGCATGGCCAATGCCTCCAATTCCCAGTTACTGGATTTTTTCTTTTTCTTCTTAGACTTGTTTTTATAAGCAGGTGCTGGCACTTCTGCAGTTTCACCCTGTAGGTCTGCAGCAGGCTGGTACTCCTGCGGATCAGTCCCAGCCTCACTGCCCGCTTGCAATTTTTCAGGCATGGCCAATGCCTCCAATTCCTGGTGAGTGGACTTTTTCTTCTTTTTTTTCTTAGACTTCTTTTTGTGAGCACGTGCTAGCAGTTCTGCAGGTTCACCACCCAGGCCCACAGTAGGCCGGGATTCCCACACATCACTCCCAGCCTCACTGCCCGCTTGCAATTCTTCAGGCACGGCCAATGCCTCCAATTCCTGGTGAGTGGACTTTTTCTTCTTTTTTTCCTTAGACTTTTTTTGGTAAGCAGGTGCTAGCAGTTCTGCAGGTTCACCACCCAGGCCCATGGTAGGCCGGGATTCCCACACATCACTCCCAGCCTTGCTGCCCGCTTGCAATTCTTCAGGCACGGCCAATGCCTCCAATTCCTGGTGAGTGGACTTTTTCTTCTTTTTTTCCTTAGACTTTTTTTGGTAAGCAGGTGCTAGCAGTTCTGCAGGTTCACCACCCAGGCCCACGGTAGGCCAGGATTCCCACACATCACTCCCAGCCTTGCTGCCCGCTTGCAATTCTTCAGGCACGGCCAATGCCTCCAATTCCTGGTGAGTGGACTTTTTCTTCTTTTTTTCCTTAGACTTTTTTTGGTAAGCAGGTGCTAGCAGTTCTGCAGGTTCACCACCCAGGCACACAGTAGGCCGGGATTCCCACACATCACTCCCAGCCTTGCTGCCTGCTTGCGATCCTTCGGGGATGGCCCATGTCTCGTATTCTTGGTTATCGGACTTTTTCTTCTTCTTTCTCTTAGACTTATTTTTATGAGCAGATGCTGGTAGTTCTGTAATGTTATCCCCTGGACCCCTGGAAGGCCAGGAATCCTCCCGGGGGGATTCTGACTGAGGCAGGGTGTCCCTTGCCTGCTGGCTCTCCTTTAGAGCATCACAGGATGTAGCTTTCCTCCGATGCTTTGTATTCTTTTTCTCTCTAGCTTTATCATGCAGTGCTTCTGACTTACATGTATGTGACTTAGCAAGTCCACGAAGTTTGTCTGTTTTCAGCTCTCTTGCTGACTTCTGTTCCATGCTCGTGTCAACACAAACAACATCAGCATCCTCTCTAAAACACTCTGGTGTGTTGTCTATATTTTCTTTACCCATAAGGACTACTGTAACACCTACTTCCTCGTCTACCTCCAAAGCACTGCATCTTCTCTTTTTTCTCTTTTTGAGTGTAGAAGTGGCATTTTCAGTCTCGTCACAGATTCTGGATTTTTTCAAAGGAGAATAAATGAGATGCTGGCAATCTTTTTCCCTCTTTTTCCTCCTAGTTATTTGAGACTGTTCATTCACCAGAGAGGAGTCTCTGAAAATTTCGTGGGAATGTTTCTGAGGTCTTTCCTTATGTACAGAATATTTTTTCTTTTTCTTGTCGAAAACTGGAGTGTGGACTTCAAATCTGCTTGATTCTCCTTCCATTTTATTCCTATATGGAAATGTGACAACGATGGTTTATTTGTGCATTTTAATCATAGCCTCAGGGGGAAAAATCACAGCAAAATGAAATTAGATGACAAATGACATGATTGTAGTAATGATTACACATTTTCTATTATTTTAGATATACAGGTGGCTCAGAGGAATTCTGTCTGGTCCCACTGCCTTTATGACGGAGAAAAAAAACAGTTAACAGAGAACAACAGCGACTGAAGAATCAGGCCCCTGTTCCCCACAGCCTCACCTCTGAACTCATCTTTCCAACTCTGTGTTTAAGCCACAAGCAGCTTGTTTTGGTTCCTCAAACATGTCACGACCTTTCCCTGCAGCTCTCCGTGAAATGCTCTCCACGGCCTGCCCACTCTCCCTGCCTCCTGCCATCCTTCAGAGCTTGGTTTGAAGATGTGTCTAAAGTGCAATGGCACGATCTCGGCTTACTGCAATCTCTGCCTCCCAGGTTCAAGAGATTCTCCTGCCTCAGCCTCCAAAGTAGCTGGGATTATAGATATCTGCCACCACACCCAGCTAATTTTTTGCATTTTTAGTAGAGATGGGGTTTCACTATATTGGCCAGGCTGGTCTCAAACTCCTGACATTGTGATCCACCTACCTCAGCCTCCCAAAGTGCTGGGATTATGCGGTAGCTCACGCCTGGCGAAGATCAGTTCTTCAAGAAAGTTTTCCTTAATTCTTTGGGCTTGCCCTGATTCCTAAGTGATATACTTTCATATTAAAAAAAATAATAAACACAATTAGTCATTTAGAGGCTATCTTCTTTGCCAAAAAAAAAAGTAAAGAAAAAGAAAACAAGGAAGGAAGAAAAAGATGGTTCATCTGTCTTGTTCCCCTCTGTGTTTCTACCATGAGAAGCCATTAGACTCCATTAGAGGGCAGGCTCCACACAAGGGCCTCACAGTGGGAATATCAGGTATCTACTGACCTCAAACCAGAAGTCTGCCTCTTTGTGAAAGAAGCTGGATATGCCTTGTTAGTGTCCAACAAGGAGTGAACATCCTGCAATACACTGGAATAAATTTCATAAGTCACTAAGGTTAATGCATATAGGGTGTGTGCACTTGGAAATTAAAATACAGTAATAGAGGCACACTTTCCAAAAGAGATGGTTAAAAATATAATTTTGCAAACATGTCTCATTGCTCTCTTTGCTCTGTATTGCTTCTGGGTTTCACTTCTATATACTGTGATCTGCATTTGCTATTTTTACTTAACAATAGATCCTGGAGATTTCTCTATAGTGGTCTTTAAAGCCTGAACGCTAAGCACATTTTCTATAGAAGCCGCCTAATTTATCCCAGGTAGCAAATACCAGCTGTATTAGACAAGAATTATGTTACTCCCCGAAGTCTAACAACCCGGTTGCATTGCTACATCCTCTCTCTTGCTGCAACAAAGGAAATGTCCCTTCTTCTGTCAAAGGCTATTTCCTTCCTTTACAGGAAGGAAAATGTGTGCTGGCTCCCAATCCCCTCCTGCTTTCTCAGAGAGATGGTGGTTCCCCAGGTAATCCATCTCTCTCCTGTATCTTCAGCCTGTCTTTTCGAGCAAAACACCAACAATATTTAATCTCCTCTAATTTAAAAAAAAAATGCAACTGTCCTCTAACCTTAAAGTCTCATCCAGCTGTTCTCCTTCTTCCCCTTCACAGCAACGTTTCCTGATAGGGAAATCACTCTCTCCATTACCCACCTTCCACCCACCTCTTGACCCACATCCTTGTAGCTTCCACCCCACTACTCCATTGAGACTGCTTCAGCAAGAGTACCTGTGTCCTTAAAGCCACTAACTTCAACAGACAGTTTTCAGTCCCATCTTTCGGACCTCTTAGTAATCATGAGCAGAGCAGATGATTTTTTTTGGAGACGGAATCTCACTCTGTCACCTTGCCTGGAGTAAAGTGGAGTGATCTCGGCCCACTACAACCTCTGCCTCCTGGGTTCAAGTGATTCTCCTGCCTCATTCTCCAGAGTAGCTGGGATTACAGGCACGCACCACCACACCCAGCTAATTTTTGTATTTTTAGTAGAGACCAGGTTTCGCCTTGTTGGCCAGGCTGGACTCAAACTCCTGACCTCAGGTGACCCACCTGCCTTAGCCTCCCAAAGTGCTGAGATTACAGGTGTAACCCACAGCACCCGCCTTGATTTCTTTTTCCTTCCTTTTTTTCTTTTTTTGAGACAAAGTCTCACTCTGTTGCCCAGGCTAGAGTGCAGTGGTACAATCTCTACTCACTGCAACCACCACCTCCCGGGTTCAAGTGATTCTTGTGCCTCAACCTTCCAAGTAGCTAGGATTACAGGTGCCCACCACCATGCCCGGCTAAGTTTTATAGTTTTAGTAGAGACAGGGTTTCGCCATTTTGACCATGCTGGTCTCAAACTCCTGACCTCAGGTGATCCACCTGAGGCCTCTTAAAGTGCTGGAATTACAGGCATGAGCCACTGTGCCAGACGATTTCTTTAAATAATATTTCCTCAGAAATAATAATAATAGTAATAATAATAAATATTTCCTCTTCCATCAGTTCCTTTCCTTCTTTTTTGTAAATACCTCCTAGGCTGCTCTCTGGAGCCCAGTACAACCGTCTACATATATAGTCTCTACCTGCTAAAAACTTTTCAGGGTTCCTGTTATACTTAAGTCAAAATCCTTACAGACTTGGTCTTCATTTCTTCATAATCTAGCCTAGAGGCGGAGAGGTACGCCCATGCCTCTCTCTCTCTGGGTTTCAGAAACCCTGCTTTCAGTTCCTAGAATATACTATCTTCCCTTTCATCTCAGGGACTTTGCAAAAATAGCTCATTCTGCCAGGAATGCTCTTCCTCCACATTATCTTTTCTGCCGTTTAACTGGTCCAAGTATGAAAGCCACTTTCCCAAGAGGACCTCTTTTAACAGCGTTTCCCAACAACCAGCAGCTTCCTCATCGCACTTTTGGCAGTTATGATATGATCGGCTTCTTGAGGGCTAGAATCTTGCCCATCTTGCTCCCAAATTGCTCGATACATATGGAACAAACGGATATGCATTTCTCCCCCCTTACTCGGAACATACACTTCCCGCCCTGCAGGGTACGTGCCCAAGCCTCGTCCCGGATTCTCTCACCGCCTTTGGGGTTCGAGAGAGACCCTCTCTACTCCCGGGTGGGCGCTCCGGCGCTGAGAGGGGAGGAACTAACCAGATGTGAATTCTGCACCTTCTCAGTCCGAACGACCCAAGCCTCGGCGGGTGGATCACCTGAGGTCAGGAGTTCAAGACTAGGATGGCCAAAATGGCGAAATTCCGTCTCTACTAAAAATACAAAACAGGTGGGGCGCACCTGTAATCCCAGCTACTCGGGAGGCTGAGGCAGGAGAATCGCTTGAACCCAGGAGGCGGAGGTTGCAGTGAGCCGAGGCAGCGCCACTACACTCCAGCCTGGGCGACAGAGCGAGACTCTGTCTCAAAAACAAAACAAAAAACCCCCCACAAAAACCAGAAACAACAAAGGCGCTTTCAACTTACCCTCGGAAAGTGTCCCCACCTTTCTTTCAACCCGGAAGTGCGGTTGTAGAGGAAGCGGAAGTAGTCTTGCGTCATCTTCCGGCCCACTTGGCGTCATGCTGCCATGGTAACACGACTGCCGCTAGGCCCTGAACGCTCGCACAGTTGCCTACCCATTTTTTTTCTGGGGCCTTTAGAGGTCAGGTTGAGTAGAGTATAGTCCTAAAACGAAGGAAAGAGGGCAGAATCCCTCCATCGACGTACTAATGCATGCATGCATTCCATTTATTTCAGTTTTTGGTGAACTTCAGGAGCAACTTGGGAAGACAGATGACAAATCAACTAAGATAATTTCAGATTATCTTGTAAGGAAAATAAAATAGGGTAACGTGATGGAGAGTGACTAGGGAGTGGGTGCTACTTTAGATGTAAGGGAGGGCTCACTGAGGAGGGACATTTGAGCTGAGTTCTAAATGAAACGTGCAGGCAAAAAAATCTAGGCAGAAAAGTGTTCCAGGCTGGAAGTGAGTGCAAAAGTCCTGAACTTGGTTGCTGGAGGACCTGTGAGAAGGCTGTAGCAGCTGGAGCACAGTGAATGCAGGGAAGAGTGGTGGGAGATGAAGTCAGAGGCCTGCAAGGGCTAGCCGGTGCAGAGTCTGATGGATGTTAAGCTTGGATGAAGTCTCAGAAAGCTAGAGCTAGCAAGAGTTTTGGAGATCTAACCCAGTCTTCCCATTTCAACAGAGTCCTGAAGAGACTTAGCTGAAGGGGAAGCTTTAACCTGGCCGTCAATTCGAGGCCATTATATTTACCAACCAAAGGTTTAATCTTTTTGGATGTTGGACGTATATGATATAGGCAACAAGTTTTCTCACTTAATCCTTGTAGGTATCTATTAGGTATTATTAGCCCCACCTTGTAGATGAGAAACCTGGGTTTACAGTAACTTGTCCAAGGTGAACTTACATGGGCCAGCCAGAAATCGGACCTGTGCTCTTTCTACTACTCCATTATCTTGCCCCTCACCGTTCTGACTTCTATGTGATCTGCCAAGTGACTTTGATTAAAAAATGCACAACTGGCCAGGCACAGTGGCTCACACCTGTAATCCCAGCAGTATGGGAGGCCAAGGTGGGTGGATCATGAGGTCAGGAGATTGACACCATCCTGGGCAACATAGTGAAACCCCATCTCTACTAAAAATACAAAAATTAGCTGGGTGTGATGGCATTTGCCTGTAGTCCCAGCTACTTGGGAGGCCAAGGCAGGAGAATTGCTTGAACCAGGGAGTCAGAGGTTGTAGTGAGCCGAGATCGTGGCATTGCACTCTACTCTGGCAACAGAGTGAGACTCTGTCTCAAGCAGGTTGGAGAAACAATGAGCATATATATGCACTCGTGTTGCCATGCAAAGGCTGCTCTGGGGTGTGGATGTGGAGTTGGAATTCCATCTGCAGAAGTCTGCAAATGTGGTGTTGTCCACTGTTGATATGTAAGGCCTTGAAATCCAGGTTTGTCATTGGTGTCACTTGTTCTGTGGTGAACCCACTTACCTAGAGCCTTGTGGTGCTAGTGGTGCATGAATGAACCCACAAAAGGCTGGCACTAGAGGAGAGATTAGAGATCATTCAGGTTAGTGGTTTTCAGTCCTCCTCCAACTGCACCAATCACCTGGGAAGTTTTTTTTTTAATGCAGATTTTCGACTTTGCAATGCATTTTATATTAAACACTATTGTATCACATTAAAATCTTCGGACATGATAATGACTGTGTAGTTATACATGGGAATGTCCTTGCTACATGATGAAGTACCTAGGGTTAAACATAGCGTTGACAGATATTTTCAAGTGATTCTGTAATGTGTGTATATAAGTGCATGCTCACACACTCACAGAGAGAGAGAGAGAGAGCAAGAAAATGCGGCCAGTGCTGGGGACTGGTGAATCTGTTAGTACAAACTTCACCACTTTGTAAGCCCCCTGCCATTTCGCAGAACTTAGTTAAAATGATACACTCCACGGGGGTTCAGGCCACGAGAAACAGCTTGCCTCTTATCATATTCTGCTGGGAGAAAATGCCAGGAACATCACATTCTGCTGGAACAATGGCCAAACTGCCTCATCATGGGAATACCTTATCAACATCTTCCGGGGCAGCAGGCCATACCCCCCATGCCCCTCCCCACCCAGGACTATAATCGTCCCAGCCTGTACAGAAAGCCAGGGTTTGCTGCAGAGCTGCCCCTCTCTCTTTCTCTCTCTCTCTCTCTGTGTGTGTGTCTTTCTTTAACCCTCGCCTTCCCTTCAAAACCTAACAGAATCTAGGAGAAGCCTATGTGGATTTTCATTGTATTCTTCTTTTGACTTTCAAATTTTCTGTAGGTTTGAACTTTTTCAAAAAGTTGGGGGAGGGTGGGTAAGGGCATTTTTAAATGCAGTATCTGGCCTGGTGAGGTGGCTCATGTCATCATCAGAGCAAGACTCCATCTCTTATTAAAAAAAAAAAAAAAAAAAAGAGGAGAGCCTCAGATGCCATTTCCAGAGTTCTGATTCAGTGAGTCTGGGGTGAATCCTGTGAACCTTTGTTTTTCCTGTTTTGGCACATGGTCTCATTCTGTCATCCAGACTGGAGTGTAATTGCCCAAACACAGCTCACTGTAGTCTCAGCCTCTTCAAGGGATCCTCCTGCCTCAGCCTCTCCTGCAGCTGGGTCTCCAGGTGTGTGCCACTACACCTGGCTAATTTTTTTAATTGTTGGTAGAGATGAGACCTCACCATGTTGCCCAGGCTGGTCTCAAACTCCTGGAATCAGGCCATCCTCCCTCCTAGGCTTCCCAAAGCAATGGGATTACATAGGTGAGCCATCAAGCCCAGCCCAAATCTATATTTTTCAATTTCCCTTCATTGCTTAGATTTGGGAACCGTTGATCTAATCCTACTGTAGACTTTCCTTGTCACCCATCTCACAGGAAGAAGAAAAAACCCTTAGGATCCAAGAGGGTGACTCACTTGAGTCCACCCAGTGGGTCAGCATTAGCATCAGGGTTGGAATGCGTTTCGGGTGTGTGGGGCGCAGGGAGCAGAGGTGGGGACAGGTTGTGAGTAGAATGGGGGTGGGCGGAGGATGGAGTCTTTGACTTGGAAGGCAAGTGTAAATGACCCTCTAGAGCCGCCGGTTTCAACGCAACCCACTGGAGATTCTCGGTTCTCCTGTATCGATTCAGGAAAACTCCAAGCAAGTCCACACCGGTAGCCACCAAGAGTTTCTTGAAAGAAAAGGACAAGCAGAGCCGGGCACTGTTGGCGTCCCGTCGCCGGGGAGACGGGCCGTTGCAATCGTCCTCCAGGGGTGGCCTTGATTTTCTTTCCTCTCCCAGTTCGCAGCACAAAACCCAGGAGAGGCCCTGAGGATCCGGTGGGGCTTCCGCAGGGCTTCAGAGCTCCTTGCAACGAGGGGCCGGCGGAGGGGGGGCGCACCCGGCTCCGGAGGGGTCCCGGCATCCGAGTCCCTTCCTCCCAGGGTCCCGGTGGTGCGGCCCGGGTCGCGAGGCCCGAGCCTCGGAGCTCCTGGCAGGCCCCGACGTGGGGAAGCGCGCCTGACCCAGCCCTCGGGCCGGCTCCCCGGAGACCCCAGGGATGCCAGAGGCCAGGAGCCCCCGCCAGGACCTCACGCGATGGAAGAAGCAGCAGCAGCCTGTGCGCCGCACGGTCAGCCAGATCTGCCCGCCCCCGCGGCGGCCCCTGACCGTGGCCGATATCCGTCCCGGCATGGAGAACGAGCGGCTGGGGGTCGTGCGGGACTCCATGTTTCAGAACCCGCTCATCGTCAAGGTGAGCACCCCACGCTCACCTCGCTTTCGCGCTCGCCGGCTCAAGGCACCCGCGCCGCTGGGGTCCCCACTCTCCGCGCCCTGGCCCCGCGGCCCCGGGTCCGAGCGCAGAGCGGGAAGCTCCAACTCTGGTACAGACAGGCCTGGACCCCCGTGCCGGTCGCGTCGCCTCTCTGAGCCTCGGTTTCCCCATCCTCAAAGTGGGATGATAATGGCATCACTAAAGGGACTGATTGGGAAGATTGAATAGTGTAATTTCTGTGGGACCCCAGGACAGCGCCTGACATGGGGAAGGCTGCAGTGGGGGGCTGCTGTGGTTTCCCACAGAGTGAACGCACAGGGTGACAGGTCGCAGACGCCCAGCCTAAATCCTGGCTGCCAGCCCTCCCAGGCTAAAGGCCGCCTCTCTTGTTCCCCTGCAAGCCTGGGCAGCGTCTACGCAGCGGGGGCTCCGAGTCTGTCCGGAAGTATCACGTCGTAAGTTCATTTCCGTCCAATCACACTCATTCTTACCCAAATCACGAGCCTCGGGGCGAATTTATCTTTCGCCACTGGAGGGCAGTGAGCTTTTAAAAATGCGCTCCGCGTCCCAGGTGCTGGAGTGGAAGGCGCAGGTGGCAGCAGTGGATTCAGCAACAATTATTTGTGTGACCGCCAGGCGCTGGGCAGCGCTCAGAGGTGGTGGCGGCGGTTTGTTTTGTTTTGGGGAAAAGGGAACCCGTGCTAGAATTAACTGAGTTAATGGGTTCCTGGCAACATTGACTTCCTCCGCTTGCCTTCCCTAAACTCTGTCCGGCAGAGGAGGGCTGGCTTACCGCACTCGTGCCTTTCCATCGAATAGGCCCGTTTCTCAGCCCCTCCGCTCCCAACGTGGAACAGGGTCCTCCACTTACTTCTAGGTGAGAAGAGCCACTCTCCGTGGACAGGAAGGACAGCCAGCGGGGGCTCACTCTCCTGGGATCAAGGAGAGAATCACGTCCGCCACCTCTGACTATCTGCGTTAAGGTTAGGTCGTTGCTGTTGTTCAAGTAGTTAGTAGTCAGCCAATTTCTTCCTACTGAAGTGTAAAGTGAGGGCGTGTGGAGTTATTCTCCATGGTGAATTAGGGTGCGGTGCCCACCTGAGCGATATGTACATGCATACACATACATGCATATATGCATTTGTGTATGCACCCATATACATAGTTTACATCTATCATGTATAATATGTACAATATGCATGTACATATGTGTAAAATGTATGTACACATATATGTACATTTCCCCCTTTTCCTTTTTCCTTTTGCTTCCCCTGCCCCACCCAGCTCTATCAAGGACAACATTTGGCCTCTAGATGGCACTAGCTGAACAGCTTTCAGGACCAATTCAATCCCTGATTTCTGAACCCAAGCTTAGGAAAATGTACAGGAGATGACTCACCGGCAACTTGGGTTCTCTCTTCAGAGCACAAGATGCAGAGCAGGTCTGCCCTGGCCCCTGGTGACCATGGCCGAGCATCAGGGACCCATGTCCAGGCTCCCGCTCTCTGGTGATGGAGCCTGGGGTTCTCTGCTTCCATCAGGGGCCGCCAGGGGGCAGCCTTTACCTCTGACTTTCCTTCGTGGGTTCTTCAGGGTCTGTAATGTACTTTCTGGGGCAGTTAAGATGACTGTTGCCAGACCCCTTTTGCAAAATGAGCACACTGAGGTCACCTCTGTTGGGTTTTTTTTTTTTTTTTTTCTCAAGGTTTTGGCAGAGCTTGGATTTGCAGCCACGTTCACTAACTCTCAGCCCAGCATTATTTTTACCACTCCAACAGCTTCCTGTATTGTTTTTTTTTTAATTATGAAAAAACTTTGGGGTTTTTAACTTTGAGGAAAAAGAGAAAATGGAAACTATGTGAGGTTGTAGAGCTTTAAGATGTTTTTCTTTTCATGTTATGGGATATTTCTACTGAGCTTGGCTTGTGGATTTCTTCATTGTGGTATGTCAGTTTCACCATCAAAGATTTTCAGCTCTCAGTGGTCGTGTGTGCCTCCGCACTATGTATGGTGGAGGTTGGGAGTGCACTCTGCCTTGGTGTCTTTAGTGTGCGCCTCCACACTATGTATGGTGGAGGTTGGGAGTGCACTCTGCCTTGGTGTCTTTAGTGTGCGCCTCCGCACTATGTATGGTGGAGGTTGGGAGTGCACTCTGCCTTGGTGTCTTTAGTGTGCACCTCCGCACTATGTATGGTGGAGGTTGGGAGTGCACTCTGCCTTGGTGTCTTTAGGAGAGTGATTAGAACTAGAGGGTATTTTGGTTTTGTCTAAGTCTGAACCTGAAGGTGTGCATCTCTATTGGAAGACTATAGCACCTTAGAAACAGGCATTTCCTCTACCATATCAGGGGATTGTTCCTTGGGTTGTTTTCACCAATGAATAGGATCAGCAACTTTTTAAAATTAAAATGTAGAAACACTGAACAAACCTTGCAGTGTTATTTCACATCCATAGAATTTACGAGGCTGTGTACAAATGAGTTATTCAAGAACATGTCTGCAGGATACCACAGTAACCAGCTGAAAAGTGAAAAACGAAGACATCCAAGCAGATATTTACAAATGCTCAACAACCATTTGCCTCGTTTAAAGCCAAGTCAACTGGTTATTTAACGGGAGTGATTGAATCAAGTCGGTGCTTTATGTGGCCACAAATGATGTATCTATTTTCCATTAGAAAAGATTTCTACTCTCATGTAGGCAGTGATGTGCAGTTAACCAGTTTTCCTTCAAATGTGACTCTCTGGGAAAAATAAAATTAAATAGAGAAAGAACCAAGCTTCTCCCTGCTTGATTCTCATTTCCACAGAATTCTGTGACTCCACACAGAATCCTGCTACAATTGACTTCAAGACTCCTTCACAAAACCTGTCAGGGTGGCACCTTTCCTGCCATCGGAACTCAGCTGATAACCTGTCAATACAATTATAGGGAGAGCCTGCTTGGTTTGCTCTCCTGACAGCCTTGAATCTTCTGTCACCCTGGAGAGGCTGCCTATGTACAGGGGTGGAATTTGTGGAATCGAGCACCCTTCGAAAGTGCAAATGATCACGGCACCCGATTTTTACATAATTTATTACTGACTTTGTTTTTTTGTGGGGTTTTATGTCACCAATAAGAAGTGCATGCATTTGTAAAATAGAGTCATAGAATAGACACAGCGTTTGGGGCTAGAAGGAATCTTACAGACATCTACCTGGTCCACCTCCTTTTTGGAGGAGATCAAGGCCCAGTGAGGGGAACAGACTCATCCGAGGTGCTATCCTCACCTGGTGGCAGAAGGGGGATGAGATTCGGGTCTCTCCTGGCTTCCAGCCCCATGTTCTTTTGCCCACAACATATGATTAATTAACCAATGACAATTCAGGTTGGTAGCATCTTGTATAGCAGGCAGTCAAAAAGTGTTCACAGATGAATCAGATTCCAGTATCATTTCATTCAGTGTTCCTTCCAATGTGAGCTCTACCGATTTCTTAGTACTTTTTGCAGCCAAGAAATATTTGTTGGAGGTTTACTAAGTGCCCAGCACCACCCTAAGATTTCTTGGTGGTATAGAAACAGGGTTGGAATTCAGCGTTGCTGTGTTTCACAGGAGTTAACCATTTACTATTTAGCTGGGGAGATGGTATATATACACACATTTATAAATGCAGATAGAGATGAGCGCACAGAGGCAGGCAGCTTAGCACAGCACCTGACGTAAAGAAGGCTCCTGGGAAATGTTAGCTCTTATTGTTACACACACACACACACACACACACACACACACACACACACACCCAAGCATGCATGCACAAATAAGACAGACATTGTGATGGGTCCCCCATAAGTTTTTGAGTGAGCTGCATTGCCCAGCAGAGTTCAGATTTTCAGGAAGGGAGCTCAGGGCAGGTCTCAGGGACCTGGAACCAGACCTTGAAAAGTGAAAAAGCAGAGTTGGGAAGGTCATTCAGCTCAATTCCGCCCTCCTCAGATCCTAAATGTTTGTAGGTTTTCACCCCAACTTGAGTCCTAGTTTACAAGACCCAGTGCTGCTGCTGGGATCATTATCATGATCACCACGAGGAAGCGTTTATTTAGGGCCAGCGTGTTCAAATTGGGTGCTCTACAGAATTAGGCAACCACACCGTGCCCACTAATAGCTTAACATCTCTAATAAATATTGATGCCAGCAAACATAAAGGCACGGAGAGAGACCAGCACAAAGAAGGCAAGCAGACAAAAGCACAGTCGTACAAATATCCCAGCGTGGGTCAGCGTTTTTATTACATTTGAGTACAATGTGAATATGTTACATGCAGCTTTATTGTTGAGGAGAATATACCCCTGATTGCTCCAATCCGTTTACATTCAATTACAATGTAATAGGAGAAAATAAACTCTTAGGAAGGGATTAAAAATTGAGCTGCCCATCCTAATGGCCCCATCTTGGTGGCTGGTGGGCCGTTTTCATTTTTCTAGGGGTGCTGTGGGTTTATCCATCCTTGCAACTCCCTCCCTCTTTGTCCTTTTTCCCTTTTTTTTTCTTTTTAAATCAAAACCTCCCGATTCCGGGTGCCCAGGCACTTCCTTCAGTGAGTCGGGCTGAGGCAGGAAACTCACCCCCCTGCCCAGCCCCGTGGCCATTTCAGAAAGCCAAGCTGCCCCCTCCACTGGCTTGTCACCACCGTAGGGCAGCCACTGCCCTGACGAAGGAGCCTGCTGTTTTCTTTGTCCCTCTGAAGAAGGTGTGCTTTGGCTCTGAAGCATTAATTAAGAGCGGACTCAGCACTTGGGTTCCTCCTGTTGAACTCAGCACCTCCCCACTACGTGGCTCTCAGAACACTGCGGTGGCGAGGCGGGAAGGCCATTTCTCCAGGAAGAATTCTGAGGCCAGAGTGAACTAATCAGAGGTCCCTTCTCACACTTTCCAGAGCGTTCCAGGCTCAAGTGTTGGCCACTGTATAATTCTGCCTGCTTGTTCCTTATTTTCAAAGACAA